CTGGAGGCTCAACACCCACTCAACCAATGACTCCCCTATTTTTCGTTTAACCCTAACTGGATTATAGACTCTGCGATGCCCCCTGCAAAACAATCATCTCCGAGACCACACTCACTCCCCCTTATATCGGAGGAATCCCACCCTCCTAAATTCTCCACCATCACCTCAAGGACAGAGGCAATGCAGCAGCTCCACCTCACTATTTCTTTCTCTTAATGTCTCAGTCAACTGCAAACTCGCTGGCACGGTTGTTCAAGGGCAATCTTTCCAAAACTAGATTGAATCCTTTTTTTAAAATAAGTTGTTTAAAACCAAAAGTGCATTCTTGAACCCGTTTTAATCTGGATGAAATCTTCAATTTGTGCTCCTCAAAACTTTTAAGCAGAGGATAACTTTAATTAAAAAAAAAAAAAAATCAGGATTATTCTGATCCCAGCATTTAGGTGGATTCAGGGTGGATTTAAGGAACAAAATGTGATTGACAATCAATATCTTTATCCGTATTTAGGGTGGCCCGATGGTTGACTAAAGTTATGGACTATGTCAAATGACAGACCATTGAGATAGAAATGAAATAATCTTCTCAAAAAATATAACAATTTTACAAATTATTCAATTATCTCTAGTTAAATCTTGTGGTGGAGGCAGGGGGTGGGACCTCATAGTTCAAAATGTATTTCTGACAATGGCATCCGTTACCGGAAGTCCATCATAATCAGTTTTCAATGTTTCAGGCCGGCCCAGTCCATCACTAGGTCATTGTTATTTTTAATGTGCTCCCTTTATCGCTAAATTACATTTCGTCAGAGCTGTTTGAGGACCGTCAGTAAAAACTGTTTCCAAGAGTAACACCACACAATTGCATTCATTTAGAAACAGTTTGGACTACTGCAAATATACACACACACACACACACACACACACACACACACACACACAAATATACCTTTTGTCCTATTACTGCTCCTTACTGCTTGTTGTCACTACATTGTGCCTCATCCTTTTTTAGGGGACATGGCGGTCGAAAATTGCTTCCATCAGTGCTTTCAAATTGATTTTCAGTCAAGTGCATTCTTGAACCCGTTTTAATCTGGATGAAATCTTCAATTTGTGCTCCTCAAAACTTTTAAGCAGAGGATAACTTTAATTAAAAAAAAAAAAAAATCAGGATTATTCTGATCCCAGCATTTAGGTGGATTCAGGGTGGATTTAAGGAACAAAATGTGATTGACAATCAATATCTTTATCCGTATTTAGGGTGGCCCGATGGTTGACTAAAGTTATGGACTATGTCAAATGACAGACCATTGAGATAGAAATGAAATAATCTTCTCAAAAAATATAACAATTTTACAAATTATTCAATTATCTCTAGTTAAATCTTGTGGTGGAGGCAGGGGGTGGGACCTCATAGTTCAAAATGTATTTCTGACAATGGCATCCGTTACCGGAAGTCCATCATAATCAGTTTTCAATGTTTCAGGCCGGCCCAGTCCATCACCAGGTCATTGTTATTTTTAATGTGCTCCCTTTATCGCTAAATTACATTTCGTCAGAGCTGTTTGAGGACCGTCAGTAAAAACTGTTTCCAAGAGTAACACCACACAATTGCATTCATTTAGAAACAGTTTGGACTACTGCAAATATACACACACACACACACACACACACACACACACACACACACACACACACACACAAATATACCTTTTGTCCTATTACTGCTCCTTACTGCTTGTTGTCACTACATTGTGCCTCATCCTTTTTTAGGGGACATGGCGGTCGAAAATTGCTTCCATCAGTGCTTTCAAATTGATTTTCAGTCGTCAGTCCGACAAAACTTCTGTCTGTACTGACAAACAGGTGTTATGCCCACCTCCGCATGTTTGGTCATCTTAAATTTTTGGGTCGGGATCACACTAATCCAGTTTTTCAGCAGCTGGCATAAAATTAAGATGTGATCCTGGAAAGCAAAAACTGCGAGCTCAAAGTCCAGATACATTTGATGCAGATTTCACCTTTTGAACAAATGGGCCCTGACAGAGTGCTGTGTGGTGGAGACAGGTATGTGAAGATTTAAAATTAATTGATCCCCAGTGTTTTGGGATGATCAGCAGTGTCTGGTTCAATATTACTATGAAGATTTTGGCAGACACATGCAGCAATCTTTCCATACAGGCGTACAGAATGTGCATACAGATATTTCACAGATTAACGATCAACATGAAATTATTCTTTTTAAATTAATGTATTCATCATATACATAGGGTGGCCCGGTGGTCGACTGATTAGTACGGAGGCCTCACAGTGCAGAGGTGCAGGGTTTGATTTTGGCTCCGGCCTTCCTGTGTGGAGTTTGCATGTTCTCCCTGTGCCTGTGTGGGTTTTCTCCGGGTACTCCGGTTTCCTCCCACGTTCCAAAAACATGCATGGCAGGTGAATGGGACACTCTAAATTGTCCCTAGGTGTAAGTGCGGATGGTTGTTGGTCTGTGTGTGCCCTGCGATTGGCTGGCAACTAGTTCAGGGTATCCCGCCGCCGACTGCCCAGAGACAGCTGGGATAGGCTCCAGCACGCCCCACGACCCTTGGATAAGTGGATTAGAAAATAGATGGATCATATTCATAATATGGCCTGAAACATGTGTCACCAAAAATTGTATCTGAATAATTTATATTTGAATCTAAATCACTAAACTTGAATAAGTGTATGGAAAAACTCAGTATGAATTACAGAAGTTGAATGTGCATTGTTCAACACAGAACAGTCACTCAGCAACATACGCAACATAACATGAATCAGAGAATTCATTTTGAAGTCCCCCCCCCCCACACACACACACACTTTCTGTCGATACTGTATGTGCTGTGCACTCTTTCTACCCTTAGGTGTCAGTAATGCCTAAAGCACGGAGTTCAATACAGCCATGATGTGACTGTTTGAAAAAAACAAAAAAACAAGAACAAAACAAAAAAAAACGAAATGGAAAAGTACTGACGACGGGCTTAGTTTTGATACATTGCTCACTATGCACTGTCATTTCCTAAATTTGAAAGCAAGCACTTTTTCATCCCTTCCTGACCCAATGGCTTGTCCAACAAATGTAAAGTTAGGAGCCCCCCCCCCAGAGCTTGAGGGCCGGAGCCTGAAATCGGACTTCAGACATTTGCACTGTGAGGCAGATGTGGCCACCAGTCTACATCGTTCTGCCCCTGAATGACCAAATTTGCCCAAATTGCCTTTTCATAATTATCTTTTATTTAACAAAGCAGATTAATTTATGTGACGACACAGATTATGTTAATGATTCCTCTTAATTAGGAAACAGATACATGTCAGAATGCAAGGTTTATTTTCTATGACGGCAGTGACGTGCAGTCATTGTAACACGGACCTTGCTTTCCGCCGGAGACGCCTCATGTGAAGCCGCCACGTAGGACAGAAAACACGGTAAAAAGTAGCGCTCCACAAATCAGTGAGCTATATGTTAATGTTCCTTACTAACATAAAATTGAGCCCTGTGCCGATCTGGCATCTGGGACGTGTTACAGCTTCAAGAAAGAAAGTCTGCCCCTGCATAGTGCAACATGTCCTACGTGGCCCCACAATTTGTTCCGAGACATTGACTAATAGTGTGACGGAGCGAAATGCTTTGTCACTCCCTTTTCTGCCTAAAATATCAGGCACAGCCAGGCCAAAGCCGATGCCCGCAGCACGGGCCAGATATCATGCTTTCTTTTCTACGAGCCCTGACGCGGACCCACAATTGTGTCTCGCGGTTCTGCGATGCCCACAAATTTTTTCCCTGCTGCTTGATTATTTTTCTCCGCCTCTCTGGCGAAGTGTGTGGTTGGGCCGTGCTCTTGGTGACAGGATGCGATGGTCCGGCAGGGGCACTGTCAAATTTGTACTGTGGCCAGAAGGATTTTATGAGAGCATATCTGATAATTTGACCTATCAACTGTCATGAACGACCCAAAAAAAAAAAAATCGTGTCGCCTGAGCTGTGCATTTTGACTACCGGCAAATTTGTGGCTTTTTTTATTCCCAAGATGACAAGTACAGTGTATGCCCTCAAACATAATTAGATCATCCAGTGTGCTTATAAGTTTGGCTCAGTGTCGGCACGGCACGACCAGTGTAGCAGAGATATTTTAGAGGATTTTGGTGTGGTAAAATGAAGGAAATATTTGTTTCTCCTCTCGTGGTGTCGTTAGTTCAAAAACTCCAAAATTTCTCGTAGTATGAAGAACATTTTTGTTGGTGGTTTAAACTCATAAAACACACTTCTCAAACTACTGTAATACAGTATGTTACTTACTAAAATGCTAGTGACTTAAGTGAAGTTGCACAAAGGTTGTCACTGCCTTTTTTTAAAATAAATGCTGTTTGCTTTTGATACAAGAAATACTTGGTTTAAACCCAGTGGAAAAAGTTTCTACACAACAAAAGAGTTTGCTGCTCTGCACAATGTGAAATTAAGAAATAGGAACTGGAAATTTTATTTTTCAAAAAAAGGACATCAATTAGTCGTTCGTTTGTAAGCAAAATATTACATTTTCTCTATTGTATTTATAATTGCTCATTAATGAAGTAAAAACATATCCAAATACTATATTTGGTTATTCGATAGAATTTCCAGCAGGATACTCCAATACTAAAATATTCAATAATTGCAACTCCCACGATATTGTCATATTTTTATTGATTAATTAAACACTTTTTTCCAGAGCACCGGGATTAGCCCTCCCAAAAAAATGCTACTCAATATTACAAAGGTGTTCCTCAAATTACATCATTGGTTAGCTAAAATGTTCATTAAAAAAACAAACAAAAAGTTATTTTGAGCTTTGAGACTGTAGGGGATATGTTGGGACCCAACTATAACGTGCAGTCACTGGTATTATCATAGGCCAGGGGTGCCCATTACGTCGATCCTGATCTACCGGTAGATCTAAGACAGGTCCCAAGTAGATCCGAGGAGTGTCGAGGAGAAAAAAACAAAACAACCATTTGTGTGTCTTTGTACATGTTAGTAATAATTTTTTTTGTGTTAATCTACGCTGCACCCTGATCATCCTATCAGTCTCATTTTCACAAAAAAATATTTAAAAAATAAAATAAAGCAGTTAAATCTTGAATTTACGATGGTGCGTGATTGCGTCACCGGAAGTTGTTAGCGCTCAGCAGTCTGCAATTGCAGCTTGTGATCAGAGCTGTTGCGCTCTATCTTTTATCGTCATTATTCTCATTCAGAGTTTAAACCCAGCCGCTGGGGGGCAGTGCCCTCCCCTGGGGGTGCACTGTTCCCCAGTGCCGGTCCCAAGCCCGGAGAAATGGGGAGGGTTGCGTCAGGAATGGCATCCGGCGTAAAACTTTTGCCAAGACGACCATGCGAGTTGGTAGGACGGTTTACGGGGGCGGATGGAAATTACTGACTCGCTGTGGCGACCCCTGAATAGGGACGTGCCGAAAGGAGAAGAAGAAGAAGAAGAAGAATTCTCATTCAGAGTTTGCTTCGTGTACAATTCACCGAGGGCACGGGCAAAGAATAGAAATCTAGAAGGGCCCAGGAAAGCACTTTAAAACGGTACGTGTGAGCTAGATAATTAACAGGCTGCAAAAGTGCATGCATGCCTCAGTTTCAGGCTGTTTCTCATGGCGTGCGGGTGCGCGTGTGTGTGCGTGCGCGCGCGTGCCGGTAAGGGTAGATCCCGGGAGGTTAGTTGATCGAAAAGTAGATCTTCGGTCCAAAAAGTTTGGGCACCCCTGCCATAGGCAGTGTTTTATGTACGCAAATAGGATACTGCACAGGTCATTTTAAAGTCATGGTATGTACACGATAAGAAAAGGCAACAGGGCTTTCTCAAGTGACGCACCACTCAACATCTTGGTTAATTTATAGAAGTTTTTACAACTTTCATCATTTAAAATAGCATGAGTCTCTTGTTTCCATGCTGAGTGGCAAACTGTGTGACACATTTTTCCATATCAAGAGGATAAGTGGCTTGGATAATGGACGGATGGAAGAGTTCTGGGCCTACTGGACGTATTATTTTATATTCCATTGCTGTTCAGGGCGGCAGGGTGGGCGACTGGTGAGCACGTCCGCTTTACAGTGCAGAGGTGCTGGGTTCGATTCCGGCTCCTGCCTTCCTGTGTGGAGTTTGCATGTTCTCCCCATGCATGCATGAGTTTTCTCCGGGTACTCCGGTTTCCTCCCACATTCCAAAAACATGCATGGCAAGTGAATGGAACACTCTAAATTGTCCCTAGGTGTGGGTGTGAACGTGGATGGTTGTTCGTCTCTGTGTGCCCTGCGGTTGGCTGGCAACCAGTTCAGGGCCTACCCCGCCTACTGTCCGAAGAGGCTGGGATAGGATCCAGCACACTCGTGACCCTCGTGATGATAAGTGGATTAGAAAATGGAGTGATGGACAGACAGCTGTTCAAGTGAAAGTCTGTCTTTGTTGTTTTCATGCATATTTTAATGGGTTTTAGTCCAGAGAATATTATTTCAGTGAAGATACCACAAACTCAAGTAAGTAACAAAGTAGTAAATGATGCTACTTTGGTCAGCCTAAATAGTTTATAAAAAACACACCATAGCAGGTGTTAGTTTCACATTGACATGAATTTAGGAACCCCTTCATGACGTACTACCATGTATTTGGCAAATTTCCTGAGATTTGCTGCCTTATTTTTATTATAATATTAAAGTTTTGCCAGAAAAATGTAAATGGAAATTGCGCCATCCCACCTTGGAGTATTAATGTCTCTGCATTGGGGAGTTTGTTCAAACCTTCCAGTATTATCAGCTCTATGGGGGCAGATGAGGGAAGAAAAAATTTTGTGTTTGTATGTTGGACGGGAGCGATTGAATGTAAAACGTGCACGTCCTCTCCCTTCCACTCAGGCAACACTTTGCACCTTGAGCTCTGTCCACCGCTGTGTTTAAAAGAAAGAAAAAAAAAACAGAGCGCTTGGTGTGCAAATGCAATGACAGATTTGAATTCATTTATTTTGGGCGCACACGCACATCACCTCTGTGCTATTGCGATTGTTCCCACATTTGAAAATTAGATATATGTTGGTGATTGCATAACAAAAAAAAAACTGGAATCTAGCAGGAAGATAATAGGTTAATAGTGGGCCTTTGTGTATTTTAAATCATTGCAGAAGAAGAGAACTACGCATTTCATTTCACAAAGCGGCTCAATGCTTCAAGGTGCTCTGCTGTCTGATTGACAGTTTGCTCTCACAAGCTTGAGTGGCCTGAGCATTTCATGTGTAAAGCAGAGCTAGTCTGTCATAGAGAGGACTTAGCAAGGATCAACCAGCTACATCAGATGGAGTACGACACTTTCAGGCCCTGGAGCAAAAGCACCAATACGTGTGCTTGTTCAGGGAACTGGAAGAGGTGACAAAACACATCAGGTAACGTTGTCTTTCTGGATGATTTTGACCCTTTCCTGCCATGTAAGTAGGATTCCGACACATATTTACGGCAGTCGTGGTGACTGAAAGTGACAGGAAATTAGGACAAGTTGTGCAACGCATATTACCAGATCCTAACTGGTAGCCCCAGATAGAGAATCCGAGAAAACAGGTGTTAATACTGTCCACCTTTAGAGGTCATTATAGCAATTGGTGTTGATGAGTGCAATGGACAGATGTTATGAAAAAGCAGGGCGGCACAGTGTTTGACTGGCTAGCACGTCCACCTCGCAATGCAGCAGTCTGGGGTTCAATTCCAGGCCCCGGCCTTCCTGTGTGAAGCTTGCATGTTCTCCCTGTGCCCACGTGGATCTTCTACGGGTACACCGGTTTTCTCCTACATTCCAAAATCATGCATGCCAAGTTAATGGAACACTCCATATATTGTTTCGAGGTGTGATTGTGAGTGTGAATGGTAGTTCGGCTATGCGTGCCCTGCGATTGGCTGGCAAAACGTTCAGGGTGGACCTGCCTACTGGCCTGTGATGGCTAGGATAGGCTACAGCATGCCCGCGACCTTTGTGAGGATAGACAGCTCAGATAATGGATGGATGGCTATGAAAAATCACAGCATAATTAAGTGTGTGCCTGTTACAATCCACAGTATTTTCTTGCTGTTAGTCTTTATTGCCAAACTGAATGTGTATGTTCATCTGTGTAAACTGGTGCTCACACAAAAACAATGATGTCCAGCAGGTGTCCTGGTATTAATCATGACTTTTTTTTCCCGAATTTGTAGTTGACCAATTACATTCAAAATCTTTTAGGTGATATGTGTTGATATGCCACACCTGTGAGGTGGGTTGATTGACTCTCTCGGAGAAAGAAAAGCGCTTACCAACAACGTAACAAAAAGGGAGCAGAAACAAAAGTGTGGCATTTATAATTTTGTTCAGTGTGTAGTGGTCTTGTATATTAAAGGACAATTCTCGTTTGAAACCTCGACATTTTGGCTCCTCTGTTTTGAATTTCAACATGCGGTTTAACATGTTTGTATGAATAACATTGTGATCTCAGGGGGCCAAGGCCTCAGGCTACTTGAATACTAATACTACTACTAAAGAGAAAGGATTTAAAAAGGAATAGGAGAGCAGCCTTGGGACTCATCAAAATCAGCCCCCGTACTGTCGCCGTGATAAAAATCCATTGGCCACAAACGTGAGGGGGACTGTGATTAGTGTTGGATTGACTCTGTGAGTGAATGATGTTGTACCCCTGTATTGAATTTCAATATTTTTTTTGGGTGTGTATGTTTTCATGTTTAGCACCTGGCCGAGCATTTGTGCAGGCCCGCCCGCCCTGCCTGGAAGTGATTTTTTGCTGCCAGGGAAACTGGCATTTAATCGAATTCCCCCCGCCGAGCCAGACATCCAGGGTCACCAGAGGACTTGCTTTACGCACGCCCGAGGGTGGTGCCTACTACCCGGCTGAACATTTACGCACCCCCGCCCATCCCAATTGGAGCTCATTTGAGCTACCAGGGGCGCCGGCACTTCATTCACACGCGCCCGAGGGAGGCATCTGTCACCCGAATGAGCGCTTACGCACGTGCGTGCTCGCCTCTGCCTGGAGATCGGCCAGGCCTCGGAGGTCTCACTTCCTTTTCCCCGGAGTAGGTGTCTTGTTCCAGGCCATGCTTTTCATCCTTTTTTTCTTTGTAAATTATTCTGTGGCAGACATTTCATATTCCATCCATCCATCCATTTTCTAATCTGCTTATCCTCCCAAGGGTCGCGGGGGGTGCTGGAGCCTTTCCCAGCTGTCTTTGGGCAGTAGGCGGGGGACACCCTGAACTGGTTGCCAGCCAACCACAGGGCGCACACAGACGATGTACCTGGTGTAAAGGCTCCCAAGATTAAGATTGCATTTCATTATTAATCATTGATAAAAATTGCCAGTGGCGCTTAAAAGCGCATGCTGTATTGATATTACATAGTTGGTTCACTATTTGTTAGGACGGAAGTATTTTTCCATTTTCTATATTTGACAGTATTATTAACAGCAATATGATCAACTATACCAGGGGTCGGCAACCCAAAATGTTGAAAGAGACATATTGGACCAAAAAAATGAAAAACAAATGTGTCTGGAGCTGCAACAAATTAAAAGCCTCAGAAAGAAGGCAACACATGCTGTATGTATCTATATTACCGGTAGCTATATTAGCCTACTATCAAAATGACTAACTTGGCTACAAATACACAATGAGCCTTCCCCGATTAAAAGGTTTTTTTTTTCCTGCAGTGTATCCTGTAGAGCAGGGGGGCCCAACCTTTTTTGACCAAAGCTCTATTTTTCGATCAACCAGCCTCCCACGATCGACCTGTGACTGCACACGCACGCATGTGCACGCACTTACACACGCATGCCATAATGAACAACAGCCATAACGGCGGCTAAGATGAATGAGGCACGGGACACACTTTTGCAGCGTGTTAACGATCGTAGCTGACGTGTACCATTTTAAAATGCTTCTCTCTGTCTTGCAGATTGCCATTCTTTGCCAGTTCCCTCTGTGAATTGGACATGAAACGGCGT